GTCCAGCGGAAACGTCACCAACTGTAATATAGACGTTGGCCGTCCTTCGGATGTCAGCAACATGAGTGCTTTAGTAAAAATTCCCCCCGACAGTAGTGCTACGACATCAATTATACGCAACAGTACTTCTACCACAAAAACTTGCGCGCACTTTACTTAAACGCGACATTACTTATACCGCAAAGATTCATACACGACTAAGTGCTACAGGCAAAATATGTATTTCAAAACTGTTACACGTCATTTATCTCCTGCAAGAACTTGTAATCTTTACTTACACGCGACATTATGTCTACTGCAAAACTCAAACATGAAACGAGTGTCACACAACAAAACTTATCCTGCAAAGCCATATAGCCGTCATTATTTTTTTCAGCAAAGACTTATGCGGTTTCTACTTACATGCGACCTAAATCCCGCCGCAGTGAGTTATATGTCGACAATAGTGGTAGAGAACATACTTTGAAGGGAATTGCAAACTGCTTTTCAAAAAAGCTTTGCAGGTAATTACGTCTGCTTAAAACCTACAGGCTTTAATTCTCAACAATATTACTTCTTCGGTAATACTTATATGCGACATTTGTGCAATACAGTCCAGGCCGTAATCCACGGCTAATAGACGCTAGTACTCAAACCAAAAGCTTTAAGGGAACAAACGCTTGAGACCACCTGATATGGAGAAATCGGAGTGCGGGTGGCCTCTAGATGATGATGGTACATTATTGCTACCTTAAACACTGCGGCCGTCAGACCCACGACGGCGATAGCTCAATGTCACTGAAAAAAACGTTTGATGCATTGCCATGGTGTTCCAAAACAAGTTTGAGAGCTAATCCGGGAAAGACGACCAAAGCTGCTCCAACATACATAGAATGAATGTGAGACATCTTCCCATCGAAGATGGGGGTGGGCAGGGCCCGCGGCTAAATACGTAACTACAGCTGCGGTTCGGTGTTCATTGAAACGCAATAGTACTTCCACTACAGTGACTTATATAAGGCTCTAGTGCTGCGCGACAAAACTAATACTTAAAAAGCTACACCCGTCATCAAGGTCTGGCAACCCAAACTACAGCCTTTGCTTAGACGCATTAAATCAGACACAAGGAATCAAAAAATTACTTAGCATAAAAAAGAAAAAGCTTTGCACCAGAACCACGAATACGGAGTTGCAGTATTGCCGAGCTGGGGCACCCTTCTAGCCTGGGAATTGTTCCTACACCCACGCTAGGTGTACACATCTAGCATTCCACGGCAAAAATTAGCAGCAAAAGTAATGTTGCGTATGCGTAAAAACATCTGTTTTGCGGTTAAAAATAAACGTTATGGATTTTTGAAGCATAAGTTCCATTGTGTACCACTATTGTCACGTATAAGTATTTGCCGCTGAAACGATGCTGCGTATGAGTAATGACGGTGTACGTTTTTGCAGTAGACGTAATAACGGGTGCAGGTTTTTGAATTATAATTTTGTCGTGTCGTACTAAAGTCGCGTGTGAGTCTTTGCAGTGGAACTCACGTCATGCATAAGTAAGGCCTGCACAAGTTTCTGCAGTAAAACGATGACGAATATGCATTTTTGTCGTATAAGTTTCGTAGTGTCGCACTGATGTCGCGCTCAAGCATTGACAGTAGAAGTGATGCTCTAGCACTCCCGTCGGAAGATGGTTTTGTTGCAGCATTGATCTCGGGGACCCCGTCCAGCGGGCGGCGTCTAGGTTGGTGATCCGGACGCCGGGCGTCAAGGTCGCCCGGGCGAGGCGGTGGGGGGGAGGGGGGGAGGGAGGGGGCGGGAACTGGCAGGCCGGCAAGCGTCTTACCAGCCGGGAACCTTCTTGTAGCAAAACAACGGAAACAGAACTCACACCGGCACACGACAAAAAACCCATCAGGTCAATGTACGCCAGCTGGTCCAAGATTCATGAAACAAGGTGTTGGCAACGGCAGAAAATCGACACAAGCTACTGGCATGAGAGGACGTTTACTCCATCCATAACTAAGAGAAGTCTAAACGTCGGACAATTCGCACAGTTTGATGTGTTCGAAGCGCACATGGTCGTTTGCGGTGAAGCCTGTTGCATGGTACCTTTTCTCTTGTGTAAGTAACGCGTTGATAAATATTTCTCGAGTGATCTTTTGATCAGAACTTGATTCCTGTTCACAGGCCATTGTCATGTAATAACGCAGTCCCGCTCTGAGTGTTGTCTTCATGCACACATCGCACTACCTTACTAAAAGTTGATTGAACAAATATAGAATTCAAGGAGGCAGCCTTTATGCATTGGAATCTATCACACTTTTGTTTGCATCTTGGCTACGGCATTGAACAGCTTTGTCAGTCATCAGGTTGTTTTGCTGACTCACTGATTCAATGTGGCCCATTTCGCTTGTTGGTAATCAACTCCTTCGATCAACTGGTTGAAAACAATTCTCTGAAAAACTTCTCCCTCACGATCCGAGGCGATTTTCGATTATCCTCACGTCAGGGTGATGGCGGCGAGTTCTGTCGATGTCGCCTCTCGAGCGGCACACTCCGGGCCCTCCACACGGGCCGCCGCGTCCCGTGTATGTCGCCTTTCGAACGGCACGCCCCGGGCCCTCCACACAGGCAGTTGTGTCCCGTGTATGTCGCCTCTCGAACGGCACGCCCCGGGCCCTCCACATGGACCGCCGCGTCCCGCGCTAAGGCGAGAGAGGCCTGGACGGCCGGCTGCAGCGTTCAGAGACGAGCGGGCCGGCGAGTGTCTGCGCCAGCCGTCCACCAGCGGGGACATCGTCTGGCGCCCGGTCCGGGCGGGCAAACGGACAGTCCGGAACGGTTCCAGTCTTGGGAGCCGTGCACATCGGCCTCCAGCTCGGCTCAGAGGCGTCCATCCCGGTCCTTAGCAGCCCGACGTGCCCTGGATGGCATGTCTCTAATATCTATGGACGTGTCTTACCCCGTACCTTATACCTTATGTGCATACGCACCTTACGTACATGCGGCCGTGGCGAAGCCTCGACCATTAACTTCTCGAGTGTCCCGTGACCCGCGAAGAAGCGTTGCAGTAACAGCGCATGTGAGCATTTTAATGTTGCGAAGTCTAATATCACGGTGTTACAAAGCCTAGATACAGCTGTGTCTTGGTACAGACATTTAAGTATGTGGTGAACGTAGTTGCACGCAAATGCGTCATGTGCGTATGCCCAATCACGCGATTGTGTGCGACTCTTACGTGAGCAAGTGCCAACATGTGAGTAACCTACGCTTTACGACAAAGCGGATTAGCCTCAATATATTTGCGTTACCCTCCCCCCCCCCCCCCCATGGTTGCTGCAGTCACTCCTCACGGACCACGACGGAGCCCGAAAATACTTGGCGGTCAAACTGCTTCGTGCCAAGCCGATGATTCTTTGCATCTCATTCATTAACTGAAACGCCAGCAGCACACGTGACATTGGCTATCGTTGCTAAACCATAGGGAATCTTATATTTAAGCCCATGATAACCGGACCATATTACTTACGATCGGTAAACTTATGTGACCAGATAACTTTGCCATTGAGTTCATGGCTATCATGATTTTGTTCTTAAAGGTTTTGGGTACAATGGGCAGAGCTTTGCTCTTATGTGAGACTACAGTGAGATGTAGAGATCTAAAGGTCAGACAATTGTCGTTAGGTTTGTGAAACTACATAGCAAATATGAGCGCACATATTGTTATATCCATACGATCACTCTCATTAACATAGGGCACATAGCGAATAGGGTAGTGACACAGTGATATAGTGAAGAGTGACTGTCGCCCCAATTTAGGATAGTACACGAGTGCAAAGAGATCAGAGGTGGATCTTTCATGCCGCCAACCAAAGGCCGCCATCATTTCACCCGTCTCGTCTCTTCTCTGACACGTGTCATCTCTTATCTCGTCTCCAGGGAGGCCGGCACCGCCTCACCGTTATCAGCCTCACAGATTATCAGCGGGACGCCTCCTGCTCCTGCCACTCCCCGGCAGGGTCACAGACAATCCAGCTCACACTCGGGCCTTCCCTTCTGTGACGCCCACAAGGCTGGCCTAGTGGCCTCCTGTTCGTGTCCGATGTCCAGGTCACAGCATGGACGCAACCACGACTTAAAATTACGGTTGTTATTGTATTCACCATTCCACGGTCAAATAACAAAACTAGTCTACTAAATTATCTAAGAAGTACCGGATCCCACCGTCCAAAGTCGTGGTTGCGCCCAGCGGTCAAATTCCCAATACACATTATATTTATTAAGGAAGCCGCCTCCCAGGTTTCGGTCGCTTTTTACGGAGGCCGACTCAAAATCCATTCATGATATATCGCAATAAAGGCGACGAATTTGACGTTGCAATCCCAACAGTTCTTCTTCGCCGACACAACCGGTGCAATCGAACTTTTCCATCTACGTTAGCCAGTCAGCTTCAAAGCAGGGCGTGTTACAGACATTGGGCATGAAGCAGACAGTTGAAGTTTTGCAGGCAAAACTGATGCCAATTTGATAAGCCATACATCCTGATATAAAGCACCAACGTTACCACGCTCTGATGAACGCTGTGGGAATGTGTGCACATTCTGTGCTAAAACATGTTTTAGAATAAAACTGCATTGCTTAATTGTTCACGACGGAGATCCGTAACAAACCCCATATATTACTATAATCACAAAGGCTTTTGTGTTCTGGGGCAAGAACAATCACGCGACTGAGGACTTGGGACAACACAAACTGCGAACAGTCAGTGCAAACACCAGTGTCTGTACAAAGACCAGATCATCACGATGCGTCTCTCACCCCTACCCCTCATCCCCTACCCCCACCCCATCACACAAGCAGAGCAACAAGTACCCCCCCCCCCCCCCATCAATGCCACCGCCTGCTCACACCGCAGGTCTGCCTCTCCCCACCGGGCTCGACTAAGACGCGACGTCTAGTGCGACGCACCGGAGCGGTCGCCGCGGGCCCAGCGCAGGGCGCACGGCTGGCTCGCGGCCACTCACCGTCCTCGTAGTCGGGCCACATGACGCGCCGGAAGGCGGTGAAGGCCGAGCCCCAGCGCGGATGCCGCAGGTTGTTGCAGCTGCCGTCGGCGGTGCGGAAGCGCGCCTTGGCGTCGCAGGTGGGCGGCGGCGCGCGACAGGAGGCCGGCTGTCGCACCGGCACCAGCTGACGCGTCCGCTCAAACCACCGCCTCGTCATGTTGTGGCTGTCGGACACGGAGGGCGGACGCTGTGGGTGCACTGTGGCCTCACGCTGGAGCAAGAGCAACTTCGTCACGGGGCGCCGTTGCTGATTCACTCGCGGCGAACTACCGCTCGTTGACGATGAAGCCGCATAAGCCACTCTGAACCCTCGCTCCCACATGCTTAACCGCCGTCGCAGCCAACACAGCTAAGCTCCCACTGAGCCGGTACAACCGCCTCCTTGCACCCCACCCCCCAACCCTCTCCCCTGGCTCCCTCACTCACTCATGCTTGATACGGCTGCCGGCCCAGCCATTCACCAGGCCGTCTCTGGCGCCGCGGACCGCCGTCTCGTGCGTCTTCAGGAACAGCTGCTGGTGTCGGAAGCTGGCCGAGCCGGGCGGCGGCAGCACGTCCTGCCGTACAAGCCGCTGCTCCAGCCGCTGCAGCTGCTGCAGCCGTAGCAGACTGTGGTTTCGTACCGAGTTCAGGTACGGCTTCGAGACCTCCAGCGGCTGCACAGCGCCCAGTAGGTGGTCCGGCTCTGTCGGGACAGGGACAGAGGTCGGGGGCAGAGGTCACGGTCAGAGGCCAAGGGGCAGAGGCCAAGGAGCATAGGCCAAGGGGTGAAGGCAAAAGGGCAGAGGCCAAAGAGCGGAAGCCAAAGGGCAGAGGCAAATGGGCAGAAGCCAAGGGGCAGAGGCCACGAGACATAGGCCAAGGGTAGAGGCTAAGGGGCAGAGGCCGAAGGTAGAGGCCAGGCGGCAGGGGTAAGGGGCAGAGTCCAGGAGCAGAGGTCAAAGACCGCGCTGGGCCAAGGTTAGCAGCAAGGAGCAAGGACAGGTCAGAGACAGAGGTCACGAGCAGTGGTCAGGGCAGGGATCGGGGGTGGAGGAAAATCCCCCGGTAAAAATGGAAAATGTCAACGATGGACAGCAGTGGGAAGGGGCCAGGGGTCACATTCTACTGATGAAACATCAGCAGCGAATGTTAAGGAGTCCAGGATCAGTAATGCCAGTTATGGTGTGAGGCCAAGTTGCTGTCAGCTGTGAAGGCCAAGTTGTGCCCAGCAGCAGGTTCCAAACCGCCGCTCAACAATCGTCAGTTGTGAGGGTTAAGGGTTATTGTCAGGGTTTGTACAACTGAGTGGGTCGGGTAGCCTTAGAAGATCGGGGGAGTCTGCGCTATTGGTGACAAAGAGGCATCAGCAGTGTTGATGGCCGGTAGCACTCTCGACAGGGACCCAATACGTCAGCTGTTGGCTGGTGACGCTACCAGAGGTCACGCACGTCCCGGAAGCGCTACCGCTCTGACTGAGTGCCGTCTGACCGGGTGTGTGTGTATGTGTGTGCGTCATTGGGGGTTTACGGCGCACTCAGCTGCTGAGGCTATATGGCGTCGCCTGCCTCTCACCCTGGCAAGAAGGGCGGGCACCGCGGGGAATCGAACCCCGTACCTCTGGTTTCCCAGACGAGTGCCGTTTGACCGGGTGATGTTAACAGCACCCACAGCGCCGGACCACACGGGCTACTGCGTGACGGTATGAACCTCGTTAAATGATCGCAATTCGTTGAGCCCCTTCGAAAGGTCCGTAATATGCACACTAGTATATCCTACATTCCCTTACTCCACTTAAAACTAAACGTGCTTTTATCGCAGCGGAAACGCTGTCAAATGCAATTTAAGCACGTGACTTAAGGTTCGAAGCCCGCTCTCTTGAATGATGGGACATTTAGAGAACAGTGCCAGAGGCTCAGTATCCAATCCGGTCGTCATCAATACTGACCAAGGTCGGCATCAATGCTATTGTGAGCTCAACAAAAGGCGATTGGCTCACTTTCGGAACGGACGCAGCTGGATGCAAATGAAAGTGGACAAAGACAAGATGAAAGAAGATAAAAATAAATGAGGACGCAACCAACAGCTTTCATCCAGAAGACAGAATGGAAGACTTGCCGGTTCCTTCTTCGCACCCGAACAGCAGCACACCGAAAGCGCAGTTGAGACTGTTGAGGTTCGCTTTTAAGCACTGCTTTGGGATGTCCCGTCCCAGCTGTTGGCGGATACCAGATACCAGAGGATACCAGGGTCCGTCCCGGATCTGATACGTCAGGGGCAGTCACGTGTCCATTGTAAAGTGCTTGGGAAAACACAGCTCCGTGAGACACCCTGCAGCCGGTGGCAGGCGGCGAGCACTACCGGCATCTGACATCACCGCTGCCCGGCTCGTTTGTCAAGCCTGAAGCGACTCGATGCTGGATTGATCACCGCCCAGTTTGATGCTGATTGGCAGATTTGAGCAAACGAAATGGCAGTGGGCAGCGAGCGCCGAGCTGCGGGTGTAATAGCATGAACAAATATCGACATTCCTGCCACCCAAGTGGCCGGATGTTAAAGGACTGCCAGCCTTTTATTGTACCATGCTATTCACATTCATATTTGAGTCGATATAGCAGTGCATGGTTTGGCTGGTTCAAATCCGACTCTCACAAAATAAGCTGTAAGAGTCGAGTCCACCCCGGCTCCGCAAAACGTAAGTTCATTCCGCAGTCGATCGCGACTGCATCCGGAGTTAAGCACGAGTCAAGCGTGGCTACTTAATACTCCTCCGACTCGTACCGCCCGCCCGGCCGAGTCGCATCCACATCAATGCCCCGTGACTTGCTGGTAGCAGCATCAATAGTCTCTGATTGGCCGTCACATGCATTCTGTTTCCCTCATTAGAAAGCATACATATCACTGGACTCCCATTGGTTAGCCGCCGACACAGCCCTGAGTTGAGTCAATCCGTTTTACAGATTAAGTGGTCTTCGATCCGCACCCATCAGTTAAAAAACCGGAATATGCCATTCGCATGCCACTCCAATAATCTGCCAGCTCTGCCGATCTCTGATTGGACGGCCGCTCCACCACTGACCTCTGATTGGCCAGCTGCGTCTGGTCAGCATCAGTAAGTCGGCGTTTGTGTCGTCTGCCTGCTGTTCCTGCGGCGTCAACGGCATGTTCGGTGACGATGTCAGACCAAATGCCAGCCCCAGGAACAGGCCCACAGTGGTGATCAGCCTGGGGAACACAAACAGAGGCCGTCAAAGGGTGAACGAAAACACTACCTGGAAAAAGAAGCACCATGGAAAATGTCCATAACTACTGATAAATGACGTTTACCGAGCACAATAAGGCTTTAAGCAACAACTGTGGCTCAACGAGCAAAGCGCCAACATCTGGAATTTTTCTGGGCGGAGAGACCCAAATGCGTGTAAGTCAGCCAGCGCAGGGGGTAACGTCCATGGCGCATGAGGTTTTCAAATTGTGGTAGATATACCCCTCTTCCACGGCTTCATATCACTCGCAAAGTGTGTGCTTACTTTCGGCCCACCTGTCGTTTACTCCTATGAATCCCTCCAGCCCATATGTGGACAGCCCATGTGTGCTATTCATCGTGTCTTAGCAGCATGGGTCTTAGCAGCATAGCAGCTTGGGGTGGCTCCCTAAATATTGTTAGTTATCCGCTGGCCAGCAGGCCCAAACTAGCGAGGTCAGCCGCGACAGAATGCTCCATGGCAGGTTACAATTCTTCCCTCCTTGATGGCGGTGCTGGATGGCGGTGGTGACGACAGAAAACGGCAGAATATCGCCCGCGGAACTGCACTGCATCGTTTAGCGCGACTGCGTAAGAGCCTGTGCAATTATCCATGATAAGCACCGCTCTCAAGAATCAGTCCTACAAAACGTTCGACGAAATCTGCATGACGCTTCCAACCACTACCACGCCACTGCATCCTCACAAATGCAAGGCGACTTTTAATTTGATAGAACATGACGTGTCATTAGCACAGAGCCAAACTTATCCCTATGGGAGCCCATTGGTATAACATACAAGGTCGCGGCCGACGTATCGTACCGACGCACCGACCAGCAGACAAACCCACCACGCTCCTGGCTATACGTTGACAAAAGCATCCGCAACACAGCCTTTAAAAATTCCTCCCACCAACACTATTTGGGAGCACGTATCTGGAGATACGTGCTCCCAAACAGATGATTATCCGGGCTTTGGGGCGCACCGACTACGTTGGTCATATGGCACCCATCACGTATCTCCAGAACTCCCTCAAAAACTATCATAGAGCCTTTGTTTAAATGCTATAACCCTGTCTGGACCGTTCCCGGAGTGCGGCGCGCCTCCGCCAACACTGTCCCTATTCTCAGTAGCAGCAGAATCGAACCCATCCGAAAACGCCTAACTAGCCGGACAGCTGCATTCATATGTTTCCAGCAACACTGTTCGACTAGATATAAGGCTATAAACATGGTTACACTCGCCAACAAGCACAACACACATGGCCACACTCGCCAACAAGCACAACAACAGGACGACCACCGCGAGCTTGAGCCAGCGCCTGCCGGCGCCGCTCCTCTGCCGCCAGCGAGCGTCCTCTGGCGGCGGCGGCGGCGGTCGCTACAGGTCACGTCATTGCCTTGCCTGGATTGCCTGGCCACGGCTTGATATCGCCTGGCCACGGTTCACAGATTGCCTGGCCACGTGTTGGATCGCCTGGCCACAGTTCACGGATCGCCTGGCTACGGTTCACGGATCGCCTGGCTACGGTTCACGTTTCACTCGGCTTCGGTTGATGGATTGCCTGGCCACGGTTCACAGATTGCCTGGCCACGGTTTGGGATCGCCTGACCACGGTTCACAGATCGCGTGGCCACGGTTCATGGATCGCCCGACCACGGTTCACAGATCGCCTGGCCGCGGTTTGGGATCGCATGGCCGGGTTCATGGATCGCCTGCTGCCGCCGCCGCGATCGTCCTGCTGCTGCTGCATGCTGCTGTTGTTGCGTGCTGCGCTAACACGTGTTGCTGTTGCCGCCTGCTGCGCTGCAGCGTACTGCTAATGTAGCGTGCTCCGCTGCCGCGTCCTGCTACTGTAGCCGGAGGCTAAATCAGGATCCTGGCGCAGGCACGGTCCATCGGACCGGTTTATCGATTTCGATTCGGAGTACATCCTGGCGGCTGGCGCGGCGGAGCGTCGCCTCGGGGTCCTGGCTCGGTTGCGCGACACGTAACCCGGCTTATAATCTGTACTATGCAGATAAAAACAAATTGTGTGGCGCAGACGCCTTACGTGTAAGCCGACTCATGGGTGCGCCTCTCATCACCAGGAAACTGCTTAAGTCATCAGGAACCGGTTCTGAATACAAGCTGTAGGCTATGCCAAGAGCCATGAAAATGGCCGAATTGAGAGATCAAGACCAACAAAGGACACAGGCATATAGCCAAAACTGAGCAGAGGTACGCAGAGGACACCGTCAAATAGCAAACCTACGCAGGGGTACACAGAGGACACCGACATATAGCCAAAACTACACAGGGATACACAGAGGACATCGCCAAAGAGGCAAGCTAAGCAGGGATACACAGAGGATACCGACATATAGCCAAACTAACGCAGGGGTACACAAAGGACACCGACATGTAACCAAAACTACGCCGGGGTACACAGAGGACACCATCAAATAGCCAACCGACGCAGGGGTACACAGAGGACACCGACATATGACCAAAACTACGCCGGGGTACACAGAGGACACCATCAAATAGCCAACCGACACAGGGGTACACAGAGGACACCGACATATAGCCAAAACTACACAGGGGCACACAACGATACCGATAAATGCCCAATGCTACGCAGTGGTACAGCGCGGTTTAATTTGGCCAATATCTTCCCATATACGTGAGTGTTTGCTGTTTTTTTGGTGGTCGTTGCTACCCAAACATGTGCAACCACAAGTACATCGACTTCGTCGATCGACATTGCCAGCCTGGTCAGGCTATAGGCAGCTTATCTTTAGCACGCGCTCGGGTGGGCGGTCACATTGACCACCGAAGATTTATCCGGAACGGTTTCCGAACTGCGCGACGTAGCCGCGCCAATAGACAATTGAATATCGGACTGTCTGACATCAAAAATTCAGATGTAACCAGTCAGGTCGCTGACCTATAGCAGGTCAAACTCAGGCCATGGTTTCAACGAACGCAATCTCTAAGGAATCCTTCAATCTGATCCAAAAACGGAGTGTTAGACGAAGCCATACATCTCTGAAATACTTTCTTAGGCAACACAACAATTGAATAAGCAAATTACATTGATCTAAGGTCAGTTATGAAGGTCAGACCAAGGTCAAAACCAACCTGTTTTATTACTCTAGGGATGGTGTATGGGGTATTTTCTGACGCCCATTTCGAATTTATTGAGAACAGGAACTGCATTATACACCTCCCATGGACTTCTTAAAGGTCGAAATAGGTCACTGACCTAAAATGATCCAGGTCAACAGGGACAGGAACAGTTCAACAGTTTTAAGGAACATACTGCCTAGCGTAATCTTGGTCGCTTAGTCAAATGCAAAACTCATTGCAGTCGTGTATGAATGTTGGTCAACATGACCTTCAAAAGGTCAAACAAGGTCACTGACCTTTAATGAGCATGTTCACTTTTGCTTGAAACAGTTTCTAGGTTCTAGGGCCCTTGAAGTCCAGTCTGGAATTTGACCTTGTTTGACCTTATTTGACCCAAAAGACTTGACCTGGGAACCTCAAACTTACACCTAAGTGAGTTCACGTATTGGTCAACACACCCTGTGAATTTAGTGTATCTAGCTCTCTTCATTCCTGAGATCTCCCGGGCCAAATTGACCCCCTCACACGAGCGAATGTTATCCATCCGGACACCCGGGCGCGCGTGTTCTGTGAATTAACAGTGTGTTCTGAACAGTGTGTTCTGAAACAGTGTGTTCTGTGAATTAGCAAGTGATCGTTGCGCCATGAAAACCTTGACTAGCCTCGGTTTGTCTAAATTTCATTTAGATGACAACTGATCGTTCCGACGTATGCTTTCAACACTTAAAGGTCGCACATTAATTCGCCGCACATTAATTCTTTCACGCTTTATTGACCATTTTTTATTATTCCAACAACTTTTACATGCTTCGCGGAGCTTCAATGTTATAGTTCTACCCTTCAAACTATTTTCCACACTTTTCAACATGAAAGCTGTTTTTGCAGTTCACAATCAGCCGTGATTCGGTTCCCAAATATTTAATTGTGACATCAAAATTGAGGTTTGCCCCTGCAAGCGACATCAACAGTTGAGGACTGTCCTTGCAGGTATGTCAACAACTGAAGACTGTTCCGGCAAGGGACGTCAACAGCTGAGGATCGCCTCAATACGTGACGTCAGCCACTGAGGATCGTCCCTATAAGTGACGTCTACAAACAGGATCATCTCAGCAAGTGACGTAAATCTCTGTAAATCAGCCCGTCAGCCGAAGTATCTCTGCAGATCAGCCCGTCAGCCGGAGCATCCCTGCAGATCAGCCGGTCAGCCGGAGCATCCCTGCAGATCAGCCCGTCAGCCGGAGCATTCCTACAGATTAGCCCGTCAATCGGACCATCTCTGCAGATCAGCCCGTCGGCCGGACCATCTCTGCAGATCAGCCCGTCAGCCGGAGCATCTCTGCAGATCGGCCCGTCAATCGGACCATCTCTGCAGATCAGCCCGTCAGCCGGAGCATCTCTGCAGATCAGCCCGTCAGCCAGAGCATCCTGCAGATCAGCCCGTCAGCCGGGGCATCCCTGCAGATCAGCCCGTCAGCCAGAGCATCCTGCAGATCAGCCCGTCAGCCGGAGCATCCCTACAGATCAGCCCGTCAGCCAGAGCATCCTGCAGATCAGCCCGTCAGCCGGAGCATCCCTACAGATCAGACCGTCAGCCAGAGCATCCTGCAGATCAGCCCGTCAGCCAGAGCATCCCGACAGATCAGTCCGCCAGCCGGAGCATCTCTGCAGATCAGCCCGTCAGCCGGAGCATCCCTACAGATCAGCCCGTCAGCCAGAGCATCCTGCAGATCAGCCCGTCAGCCAGAGCATCCCGACAGATCAGCCCGTCAGCCGGAGCATCTCTGCAGATCAGCCCGTCAGCCAGAGCATCCCTGCAGATCAGCCGGTCAGCCGGAGCATCCCTGCAGATCAGCCGGTCAGCCGGAGCATCCCTGCAGATCAGCCCGTCAGCCGGAGCATCTCTGCAGATCAGCCCGTCAATCGGACCATCTCTGCAGATCAGCCCGTCAGCCGGAGCATCTCTGCAGATCAGCCCGTCAGCCGGAGCATCCTGCAGATCAGCCGGTCAGCCGGAGCATCCCTGCAGATCAACCCGTCAGCCGGAGCATCCCTGCAGATCAGCCCGTCAGCCAGAGCATCCTGCAGATCAGCCCGTCAGCCGGGGCATCCCTGCAGATCAGCCCGTCAGCCAGAGCATCTTGCAGATCAGCCCGTCAGCCGGGGCATCCCTGCAGATCAGCCCGTCAGCCGGAGCATCCTGCAGATCAGCCCGTCAGCCAGAGCATCCCGGCAGATCAGTCCGCCAGCCGGAGCATCCCTACAGATCAGCCCGCCAGCCGGGGCATCCCTGCAGATCAGCCCATCAGCCGGAGCATCCCTGCAGATCAGCCCGTCAGCCGGACGGCGAGACTCACCCCAGCATGGCGATGCCCAGCGTCTTGCCGCCGTGTCGCCGCCGGCCGCCGGACAGGTTGAACTGCTGTTGGCGAGGGTTCAGCGGAAGAGTCTCGGACTCCTCGCAGCTGGGCCCCGGCACCGGCTCATCCGCGCTCGACGTCCACAGCGACATGTCGGACGTTTGACGGCGTCACGGTGTCACGGCGTCACGGTTCTGCTCGCGTCTGCCCGCGGTCAACGCCGGCACGTCGCTCCAGGGATTCGGTTTGAGCGCTAGCTAGCTCCGTTACGGAAGGTCCCAACGGGCTGTGTTCAGTCCTCGTCAGCGGCTACCGAGGTTCGCGGCCCGACGGCGTCGCACCCGCTCACGATCCGTTGGCACGCGCTGGCTCACGGCTCGCCGCCAGAGACTTGCAGCGCCGCCACACCGCTCCCCTCGTGGGAGCCGACGTCCGGGACCCCACGTTACGACTTCACAGCCACTTCACTGCCAAGGTCGCTTGCGGACACGCTCTTCCTCCAAAAGCGTGTTCTTCACAGATCGCGAGGGAGAGGTAGAGGACGGAGGCGCCGGTTGGAGGAGGGATCGCTGAAGTCCACCGGACGAGATGGAGACAGGCGTGTCTCAGTTTGTACTGTCTTTGGCTTCGGTGACGTGAGGAAGCGATGCACGATCTGAAAAGAGAAGACTCGTGAGCATACAAATCGCAACGATTCAACGGTGAACACGCACATCTCATTCGCTCTAGATTGCTCATAGCTACGACGTGATGCGTGCGCAAGCCATTCATTCTCTCTGCAGGTAGAGACCTAAAGTTTTTCGATCTTAGCTTCCACCGGCTAATGCTCTTCTACAATAGATTGCAAAAGAGCCTTATATATTGCATAGCCCTATATATATATATATATATATATATATATATATATATATTAGCAAGGTTTGCAATATGCAAAGGTACATTTACATTTCATCGGCCCTTTATTGGACTGACCACCATCCCGGTGCATGGCAATGCACCTGCAGGAGAAAGCGCCAGGACACCACATGTGCAAAACTCACACTAAAAAAACTCCTACGCTATGACCTAACTCAAGGATTCTATAATCGTGTCCAAACAAAAGTCCTTCACGAGTTCTCAAAGCCAACGTCGTCAGAGAAGAAATACCTGATTTAAACAAACAGCTTGGGTCATGCATCACTTCTGACCTGTCCAGCCACCCAGCGACAGCAGGATGATTCGATGCCATGATTTTGTCATGGTTTCAAAATGGTTGGAAACTTGATGTACGTGTGTTCCAATGTGTTTTGTAATTTTATATGATGTTCGGATACATAACCGGGTGCGGGAGACGAGCGCTGAACTGCCTGGGTATAGTAGGGTCTGTCCAGGTGCAGGAGACGAGCGCTGGACTGGCTGGGTACAACAGGGTCTGTCCGGGTGCGGGAGACGAGCGCTGGACTGGCTGGGTACAACAGGGTCTGTCCGGGTGCAGGAGACGAGCGCTGGACTGGCTGGGTACAACAGAGTCTGTCCGGGTGCGGGAGACGAGCGCTGGACTGGCTGGGTACAACAGGGTTTGTCCGGGTGCAGGAGACGCGCGCTGGACTGGCTGGGTACAATGCGGTCGGTCAGGGTACAGAAGATGAACAGGGGACCCGCGGCTCCGCTGCTAACTCAAACGTCCGCTGAAGGTGATCACAATCCACAACCAAGTGGAGCAAATCGACCGAAAGCTGAGTACTCAGGGATTAAAGATATGCAGAATATGCAGCTTACTTGCAAATTTATTGAGTTTGTTTTCTAAACTTCAGTTTTCCGTCAGCTTCTAACGTCTTTCATTTGCCCGCCCCCGCAGGGTAAGCTTTCGCACCGCCATCGTCATGTTTTGTATGGAGCAATATTTCTGATTGCAAGTGGATCATCTACTCTTTACGAACTATATGACCCTGTTACTGAGAGCCCAGTGGAGCTCTGTAACTAATCCCGTCCTTGGTTTCCTCCCGTGGGACCAAACTGGGTGACTGCCGCCAATGTACTCGGATCTTGTGACCAGTCCCCGTCATTCACCGCGTTCTCCTAGGGCCAACACCGGTACATGTATTGGAACACATGCCCTGTGAGAATTATAGGGTCATCGCCATTGCTAGAGGTTTAGCCTGGTTATAGAGAAGACAACAGAATGTCTACCACATTTGCAACAACATTTGTAACACATGTCACAACTTTCACTTGTAATCCGGGCCTACAAATACACTGCATGTTGGCATATATGGTCATGTTAGCACAAAACTAGCGGCTTAGCACATCTCCTTCGCTTCATTCGAGCAATGTTGTTTCTTAACCCGATGCAAGACCAACATCTTTACTCGAACTAGGTGAACCACACGAGGATGTAGAAAAACATGCCCGGATTTCAGTTGTCCGTGGCCCAAAATGAGAAGTCACTCTATCAAATGTATTAAAGCAAACGATTCATTTAACAACGAGGCTTTCTGTTATTCAACATTCACACCTGATCACTTCTCAGGAAACTCTTTACGGCATGTGCTGCCGGTTAAGTGTTAAGTGAGGCCTTGTTCCCCACCAGGTCGGTTAGGATAGAGCACCAAGGCCCTCATTCCTCTTCCTGCATATCAGACATTTCAGAAACCCCACAGCTCAACATCTAGGGGTTCGAATGCGGCTGCTGGCCGGCCCCGCTCTGTCAGTCTTTCGGCTGGTCATGAGCATCCTGAAGTGGGAAGAGTCACCCGTCATGTTCACGCCAGCTTTTCTCTCTAAGCGTGCTTAATTTTAAGTGAATTATGAACTGTCGGATGTTTTACAGCGCTGGATCTCGTTGACAAATGCATATTGGCAGCTTTTGACTTTTGCTCCGCGCTGAGCAGTGCCATTATGCCAAGTGAATCTAAGTCACAGCAAATAGCTCTAAGGCCCGTGTTATCCAACAAAGGGAAAATAACACATGCTCCAGTGGCATTAAGCCCCACCACAAGCACATGAATCGAGGATATGCGTCCCTGTCATCCCTACTCTGCAACAGGCAACGTTTTTCTTAATTATGACGTCGCTGGGATCCTTTGCTAGGAGGTATTAAATGTGATGACAAGAAAAGCTCAACACCCATCGCTACAGACGCTGCAAAATGCCGAAACGCTCGAAACACTAGAAATGTACGTTAGAAGCTGACAGAAAAACAATTCAGGAGCGAAATCAGTGAGTGCCTCAGGTCTGGAAATGTATGCTTCACGGTAATTCTACATCCTGAACTCTTCCAACGAACCATGGTCGGGCGGTGGTGAAGGGTGCAGCCAGACCGGTGCCCATCAGCTCTCCACAGCAACTCCGACGCTGTGGACGGCGGTGGGCGGCGCCGCCCCCCTGTAAATCGATCATGCGCATGCGCAAAGCCAAAAGTGCCATGGGTTACGTCCCTTTAATCGAGGCAGTTGTTGAGCCCTTCGCACGGTGGCTCCTTTCTGGGTGGGCCTCTTGATGTTGGGCTCAAGAGGCTCCAGCCGAGCAAGGTTCAGGTAAATGTATCACTACGTTATTGCAGACAGGTCGCAATCCTTTAACACGTCAGATAAACATGTCAAAACCATAGCTTTTGCGGATGGCCATTTTCAGTATCTGTCTGTTTGATATCACTGTAATATGAGGCGATGGGCCAGTGTTTCAATGGGCCAGAGAAGAGGTTTTGGAGCATGTGGGGAGTGCCGCCTATTTGACGGGGGGGGGGGGGGTCCGTGCCCCCTCCATGTCTGTATTACCACTCAATGCGTGACCAAATCACCAGGACGTAACGGCCTTCACGGGCTCTGTAATCCCATGAACGCCGTCAAGATGATCACGTACCAGACGATCGTTGGTATGGGCAAAGCTACCCGCCCGTGTAACAAGTCTAAGAAATGCTTGAAAAACATCTGGAGAGATGCCATACAATACTACTGGCTGTGCTTCTCTTAGTCACACTTAGCTTCATTCGTGCCTTCTTTGCAATTATCAAAGCACAAAGATTAGCCCTAGGTCAGTGTCCTGCCTTTTCGTAATTGAACACTTAAGCCTTAGACACGATAAATGGGTGGGTTATCGGTGGGCGTAATGGTGAATATCAAAGTTTGGGTGCGTTCTGTGCTTTCAAAATCTTGGGAGACTTATTCCCAAAACGTTACACTAAATGAGATAGATTTTCCGTTTTAAGACCACTCAAAAGACCTGGTCCATCACACGTGTAACACGTCTAATTTCATTCTCAGTGATACCATTTGGTTGTTTGCTAAAAGCTATAGCCAACGATAGTTATCGGCTAAATTAATCCACCGCTTATTCCTGCATATTTATTGAGACCTTTAAAGCCTGATGTAAGGTGGGCGACAGTTCACACATTTGTATTTTACTGAGTAACTTGGATTAATTTGAGTACTCAGACATGTGCATGCTTAAAATCGATAATGTGAGAATTGATCAATCCACTATGTTGGTTATCTTATCTGTGGGAGCTATAATGTTGTTGCGTCACACATGGGACAACGTATGGCCGTCCTCACTCTGACATAGTGATTTGTATTTAAATTTTGTTGCCAAGATTTGCTGATGCGTTCGTGAATGTGAACAAACATTCATATTTTTTCTCAATTGACGTAATCAGTTAGTTGGTTTGTTTTATCAACCTTGTGTCCCGGAAATCAGACTCTGACCACGGTGACGGGTGTGTATATGGCTAAAAGCCGATGGTTACCGGAGGGAGCGAACGGAAGTCAACACGGAGTCAGCCAGCCAGACAGGTTTTAGAGATACGCGGCTAGGCGCCTTTTGATCCGGGCACCACGGGACCGGTCCTATTCTAAGCGTATTAACCGACGGGGCAGTACACGAACGTCGCAATTTGGATACCTCTACCACTGAAACCCACACCTGATTCTCATTTACGGCTTACGTTGGATGAAGTCGACAATGGCAAACAGCTATATTACCGTTCCGCTGCGGAAAATTTCGTGCATATCTGCAGGATCCCGGAAGAGCTCCAGTTTGTTGAAGGCAAATTCCGTCGAGCCGCGGGCGAGACTATCCACCTCAACTCGGCTTTTCAAGGCTTCGGCTCTGGTTCTCCGTCGAAGCTGTCCGTACTCGCGCGCTGCGGCGGTACGACGCGGTCTCGGTGGTCTCGAGGTCTCGGGCATGACGGATTCAAAGCAGAGACCACAACACAATCATAGCAAGTGTGTGCGAAAATACCCCGAGGAGGCTAAATCTTGGCGCATTAAAGGGAGTGTTCCAGACTGATATGGGATTTTCAGCCAAAATGACCATGTTGAAGACCTTTCGGTTCTGTTCACAATTCTGTCCATCTTAAGCCCTCGTTTATGAGCTACACGTCTTGCGAAAGTGGAGAAGGTACATCGGGGGGAGTATTTCAGAGCAGCCTCGGCACTCATGGCGTGATGATAATGTCATTCAAATTTTGCCATTCCATAGGCCACGCGGCGACCAAGGCCAATTAAAATGGAATTTCGGCGTACATTTAATTTTATTACGCATATATATATATATATATATATATATATATATATATATATATATATTTAATTGTATGTGTACGCCTTAGCCGTACATTTATAGCGTTCATAGGCGCGATTGATTTTTTGTGGTTTATTGCATTTAGAGACATAC